AAGGGCAGCATTTGATGTTGCATCCATGTACCACGGACCAAGACTCAGAAACCATTCATTTCCTGCTCTTGATCAAGGTATGTTACAGTCTTGCTTCGCATAGTGGTCCGCTTTCTCACGTATTTCAGGTTATCGCGCTGTTCAACGCAGATCAACATGACGAGGCAAACCTGCTCCTCAAAGAACTCACTACCGGTTGTCCGAATGCCGATACTCTCGCATGTCGTGTCGTGCAAGTAAGTACCTAGCATCCACGTTTACTCATCTTTACAACTCGCACACTAGGCATACCTATGTGTTGAACTTGGACTCAAAGCCTTGGATGGCGCGCGTCACGATGAAGCCGCGGCCATTTCACTGCTGCTATCAACTCCGGCGCTTTCTCATCGAAATTCATTCATGAGATATACGAGGACTTGGTCGTGGTGCGTTAGGATGATGCATACACAATGCTTTTCATAACTGATTGTCTTTTCCAGCTCTTTGGCTGGGACCTGGAGTCATTGTGGCAAAAGGCACACCAGAAGCACTGTGATGCACTCCTTCGGGCAGGTAAACTTCAAGATGCCGTGAAATCATTCCGATACATGATTCACAACATCGACGACACAACGACGGGCAACTGGTTTGAATGGTCCAACGGCAAGTTAGGAGTTCGCAATGTCGCGCAGGCTACAATTCTCACCCCCATTTCACTCAGCTTTCACGGAAAAATGCAGCGCGCCCTTCTCTACCAGCGGAAATGTTGCCCTCGCTGCACGCAATTGCGACAGGGCTATCGACCTATACCCGACGGCGATCGACCCTACCTTCTCCATCCGATGCTGTCTTTGCAAATCGTTGTAAGGAAAAGTTGGGAAAAAGCTATGGATGGAAGCACTTCTCGATGCGCAGAAGGTGCTATGGCATTCATTGTTTCTTAACCTATGCTCATTGTGATGATACACAGGTCATCCAACTCGACCCTTCGTCTCATGTTGGATACAGGTTGAAGCATGCAGCATTTCATGGCGCACAGCGTTATGATGAAGCTATTGCGGCTTTCCAAACGATGCTCTCAAAATTGGATCGTACTTCCGACGCTGAGACACGAAGTAAGCCCCAATAACTCAGATGCCAACATGCTTTAATTATTTCTGCAGAGTTTGCGCGAGCAGTATCTCGGTCCATCCGAAGTGGACTGCGCTATTCGAAAGATCATCGATACTCAACTTGACAATGCTCCGATGCGTGTACTCGACACTACTACCGGACTCTTATGCGATCGAGAGGCGCAGATACGCACCTTCAAATCGAGCATAGAGTACAAGGAGCTTGTATCATCAACAATCACGCATTCTGACTTCCGAACGAAGCGCATCAAAGAAGTGGTGATGACGTATTTCCAATATGCCATGTTATCGCATAGGTGGGAAGGCAAGGAACCGCTACTGCAGGATATTCAGGGCAAGGTCGTCTATAAGCTGGATCCGGTTGGCGGCAATCACAAAATTGCAGTCCTTCTGCAAAACTGCTCGTGATTTGGGCTATCGCTGGGCATGGAGTGATACATGCTGTATTGACAAGAGCAACAATGTTGAGCTCCAAGAATCGGTCAACTCCATGTTTCGTCTGGTATCACCCACTCCGCGCTCACAGTTGTATACCTCTCGGATGTTCCAGCTTCGTCAAAGTCTGGCGCACTGGCAAATAGCGTTTGGAACACACGCGGATGGACGGTTCAAGAATTCCTCGCACCCCAACATCATTCTATTCTATCAGAAAGATTGGACTCTTTATCTCGACGATCGCACTCCCAACCACAAAGATTCCGTCGCGATCATGCAAGAGTTGGAGTACGCGACAGGCATAGATCGGCGAGCCGTCATGGCCTTCCGTCCTGGGATGAGAGACATCCGAGAGAAACTTCAGTGGGCGTCGACACGTATTACCACGCTGCAAGAAGACATCGCATACTCATTATCCGGCGTCTTTGGCGTCCGCCTACGTGTTGATTATGGTGAGAAGAAGCAGAACGCACTCGGGCGGCTCCTGCAGGAAATCGTAACTCAGTCGGGCGACACCACAAGCCCTGGACTGGGTCGGAAAGTCATCGGAGTTCAACAGCTGTCTACCAGCCGACATCACTTCATATGAAGCTCCACCATGCAAGCTGCCATCTCTATCCGAAGATGAGATTCAGTCATCGGTCTCCTCGCTGCGAGGTATTGTGGCTGTAGAATCGGCTTCAAAATTATATCAGACACTTGACTACCTGAGCGCTCCCCGTTTCGCGTACCGCCGGTACATCTGCCTTGCATCGTATTCCCAGTCACAGAAGCTAGGTGGAGGCGAGGTCGAGACCAGGATACATATTCGTATGAACTCAAATCAGGCGGGCTCACGACTTGCAAATCACCACGGCAGACAAGTTGATCCCATTCTCGCCTGTAAGGCCGCCGCCCCGCTTGGCAAACAATCTTGCTTGTTCGTCCATGGAGTCGCCGTCTCCTTGAGTTGCATGACCCTGCAGACGATACACGGAGAGCAGAAGATCAGTCCGTACCCGAATCTTCGTCGCACGATTCACTCCCTGCACAAACTGAACCGATTTATTCGGATTCTCACTCGCGAGCATTGCGATTGATTGTTCGCCTTGGACAGCCTTTTAGTGCATTTGTTGTTAGCGCGGCAGCGCGACGGGGAATTCAAGAGGATCGCGTCGGATCATGATATCATTGCACAGGTAAAAGACATGACTTCTGTTGACGACATGATGGTCATTAGGACACTAGAGATACTGTAGTTGTATGGATTATTCTAAAATTTTCTGAGCGGTTTTCGTTTGTACCTTAACGATACAAGTTAGTAGCATACACAGATATATACCAGCTGACTTTGCATAAAAGCGGACGTGAACTTGGGGACAAACAAGATGATTCGTGTACGTAGAAAATTAGTGAAGGACCGGATAATCTCAAGGACGCTTCATTCCAATTCCTTGGACAAAAACGACCAATACAGAAGGTGCCACTATCAGTATCACTGGGCGCATAGCATCCCACTGGCCCTCTCAACACCCTCATTCACCATTTGCAAAGCAACCTCAACATTCCGTCGCATGCCCCTCTCTTCTCCTTCGAACTGCAGAAGGCTCCTGGTCACCATTGACCAAACCGTGGTTTCTTGCACGTCCGCAACGAAATCTGGGTCTCTGCCGGGACCACCCCAGCATGCCGGGTCACGCCTTCCGCATTGGTGGAGCCGGGAGCCACAGAACTGCTATTAGAAGGTCCACCCAAACGTCGGCGCCAGGGTCGTTGGAATCACGTGCTTTCCCTTGTACGGCGTCAGATCGAATCCATCCTTCCACTTTTCATTTCTACTGCTCATTAACTCCCCCCTTGCAATCCCCCGCTTAGAATCCATCATGCTCGATTTTCCAACGCTCGCATTCCCTACCTAATACTTACTGCATTTTCTCGTGTATAGCTGTCTCTGTTCCTGTTATTCCTTACCGTTCCCCCCTTGCAATATGTGCTGTTTTCTTGCGCCTACGTCTCGTGTGGTCTGAGTTCAGTTCCTCGAAGAGGAAGTCGAGCCGTGCTCCGTTTCTCTGGTGTGATCTCGTTTTTCCTCTTTGCGGTTTTTCTTCCCTCTTCCCGCAACTCGAGACTAACCTTTTCACGCTCAGAAGGTTTGGTTTATTCTCCGCGCTCAGCTTGTTCTCAACTTCTCGCTGACTCCGAACGCTGCGTCCAAAAAACCCTCCCAGATTGCACCTACGGCCGCGGTCTGGCAAAACCAGACCTTCCCCAGTCAAAACTCACGCTCCTCTCGACATCATCTTCAGCACCCAACCTCGTTGTCTGCCACTTACTCTTTGAAGTCCACTTCTCATTCAGCAGACCCTCTCACCCATCCCCGTCCATATGCAAGCGCACTCTAATTGATTAGTCGAGCCCTTTTGCCTTAAGACTAATCATTGTCCACTCGGTCATTCCCAGTGCAGCGTCAATACATAGCGAGTCGATTAGACCCTCTCTAAGCAACGTCACACGTCACATCACCCCTTAAAAGAGGCCCCTAATATTACACTAATCTCTCAATGAAACCATGACTGAATACATTCTACAACAAGTTTCTGCAGTGGTCAAGAACTTCCTTCAAATATTCAAGGACCCCGTCGAACGATCCGCCAGATCCGCTCCCTCCCAACATCCAACCTTTTTTTCCCACTCACTCCAATGACCGAACCAATGCCATTTTCTGGACCGGCGAGGTTCTTAGTCTGCATCTTGTCATTTCGAAAGAGTCCACGTTCCTGCAAAAACTTCAACACTGCAAAATTTTGCAATCACCAGCTCACGAATTCCTTATTGCGTACTTCATCACAGAGATAGACGGCACAAGCTACGTTTCGTGCAAGTTATATTTTTCATGTTAAGTTGTCCGTATGCACCCACAGTTACAACTGGTCAAACATAGCTTCGACTGTGGTGAGAGCGCACTTAGGTAGACCGCCGAGACGTGTAGGTGGCAGGTCGTGTTTTCTTGCTGCTAGAGGGGTTTCATGGACGTGCCGGGTATTTCAGTTCATATTGTTAATATCTACATAAAGTTGAAGCGGTATGTTATTGGCTCACCGGTACGCTCAGTCCTCGTCATTCGCTTAAGACCGCAAAGCTGCACATGGACACTCGTGCCATCGGATTTAGTTAACACATATATAGTATAGTCGTTGTCACATCAGTCTTTTAGAATTAGCAACCCCACAAAAAATTTCAAACTTACATCAGACACTGCATATTAATGGCCCGCGAATTTACCAGACTCCAAACCGGCCACCATCGGCAGAGTGTTTATTCTCTCACATCTTAGTTGTGTCCACATGTGCCTTCTTCGATTACTTATATCTCCTTATAAAGTCCTCGGATCTTTTCTGATATCCCTGCTGTAATTCGACTCGATGATGCGAGTCTTGATTCGACTGTCTTTTCTGCATGATTGCAATGTGCTAAGACCCATCAACTGGAACCGGACTTTTCTACAATCTATCTATAACATACAAGGGAGGAAGTATCGACCGTCATAGGCAAGATGTTGACAGCGCGCAGGCAGGTTTAGAGGAAGTGAGTGGGCCAGAAAATGATGGGGTGCGTAGTAACTACATGATATCTTTCGCTTTGCTTACATTTTGTTCTAGGACCGGAATCACTTCGGACCTCATTCTCCACTCAATGCATTGCGGTGATGGTGGTAATACAGTGCTACAAAGTTTGGCTGACATCTAGGTTGGCCACGATCACCTAAAGGTGGCCACGGATGGCCTTGGGCTCATACCTATAAAGGTGTCGTCAGTCTCATCTCGAATCAACAAGCAAGCAGAATACGCACGGCTCCTCCAGGTATTTTATTTCCTCCGGGGTGAGCTCAATTTCCTCAATGATACTCTCCTGCAACCTCTGTACAGAGCTGATACCTACGATGGGACTCGACACCTTTGATGCAACCCAGGCCAGCGCAATCTGGCTCATCTTGCAATTCTTCTTCTTGGCAAGCTCTTCGACGCGGTTGACGATAGTCGCGTCTGCACTGCTCAACTTTTTCTCCCAAATAGTTCCCTTGGTAGAATTGAGACGCGTCGTCTCTGTGCCAACGGGACGGGCGAGCACACCAGAAGCTAGAGGAGCCCAGGGTATGACACCGATACCGTTGTGTTTGCAATAAGCGAGCATTTCTCGTTCCTAAACGTAATGTCAAACTGGCGAGCAAATGTCGTGATTTTCAGGAACACACCTCCTCGCGGTAGAGTAGCGAGTACTCATCCTGCATGCTGACGAACGTTGTCCAACCATTGCGAACGGCCACATCATTCAACATAGCAAACTGCCAGCAGCGCATGGAGCTAGCACCGATATAACGGACTTTACCGCTCTGCACGAGGTCGTGAAGTGCTTTCATGGTCTCCTCAGGGGTGACTGAAGGGTCGAAGCGGTGGATCTGCAAGAGATCGATGTATGGGGTCTCGAGACGAGCAAGGGACGCGTCGACAGCATTGAAGATTGCAGCACGAGACAGGCCAGATTGGTTAACGTACTCGGGCAGCTTTTTGAAATGAGGCATGAGGAATCCTTGGATGGAAAGATCGTTGGCGACGAGACCATTGCACTTGGTGGCGATTATGATCTGGGGGCGAGGAATGTTGTACTATAGAGTTCATGCGATACCATCAATGAATGTAAATTTAGGACATCGTAAGCCACACCTTTTTGATGAACTTAGCGATGAGGCGTTCTGACTCGCCGTTTGAGTAAATGTTGGCGGTGTCGATAGTGTTGACACCAAGGTCCCAAGCAGCCTTCATGATTTCGATAGACGGCTCCTCGTCGAGGACCCAGGACTGTAAGAGGTTGAGGATGTGGTACACCGTGAACGGAACAGAAAACAACAATCACGTACAGCCCATTTCGACGATCCGAAGCTCATCGCACCAAGCTATGAAGAATGGATATTAATGAATGGTGAGTGCTATGCGCAAGCAACAAACGTTTTCTAACTTACAATTGGCACGGAGACTTTAAGACCAGACTTGCCAAGGGAACGGTACTGAACTTTAGACATTGTGTTGCAATTGTGTTGATGAAGAAGATGACGGTTCAAACGTTCACGGGCAGTTGACGACTTAAACACCCCTGTATTTAAACGAGGCTCTAATACCTCCGGTTAACGTAGTACATAGGTTGCATAACTCAGTTTTGTAAGTAAGACGGGTGCTTACGAGTGCTCGATGACATGGGTAGCCAATACTCTCTGATATCAATTATTATAACCGTACAGTAGTGTTGCGATGCATCGGATATGAGCACGTCCGAGCGCAGTCATCATCGTGGAAATAGAGACTAACTGCCGATCAGCTGAGGTCGCAGCGGCAACCATTTTAAAAAACAAAGGAGCTGAGGTGGAGTACATCATGTACATGCCTACGCCAAAGTGGAGCGGAAGGGGGGTTCGGGTGGAGCCCGCACATGGCGACGACACGAATTGGTTCCGCGGCATCAAACGCTCCGTCCTTACAATATGTAGATATAAGCACGAGATCCCGCTGGCGATAGCGTCCACCACGCCATGCATTGCTTCCGACAGCTCTTTCCGTCTGCTGCGTCATGCTGTGTTGTTGCGCATCCATGCTCCATCTCCTTTTTGCAGCGCTCACACATAGGATGTTTGGACATTTTACCTTTTGCAAAACTTCAATCAAAAGCAAATTTAGGGCTAAAGCATTCTAGACCTAGC